TTTTAAGAAAGATAACCTGCCGAGGATGCACTAATATAGCATTTAATTTTAAGAAAGATAACCTGCCGAGGATGCACTAATATACAATTTAATTTTTTTAAATGTTATGCTGTATCTTTTGTTATACATGCCTCTTAGTTTGTCACGAATGATTCTGCGTAATTAATGGAACTTGCAGGTCGATTAATGTTTGAGCTCTAATCGATCATTGTCATGCAAGACTTGGATCGTTGGAGTAACCAAATATAGGAACACTTGGAAACACTAACTTTAAGTAGTTAATTATTTTGTGAGTCATAACATTAAGCTGAACATCCTTGAATTAATGAAAAATCTTAATGGTAATATTTCAACTGCTCGATTATTTTCGCGTCACTAATTAATGTTCATAGGTAATAAATTTATAGAGTTAATCACTCAGCTCTTATCAGGAATATGGCAATTCTTACCTTAGTAGGAGGGAATGGTGATCCTGGTAGTTCTAAATTAAACAAATCGTGATTTTTCAGAGATTTGGGAAATAATGACCTTAGCAAGTGAAAGATAAATAATGACCTTAGCAAGTGAGATTCTGAATAATGGGTAATCGGATCACTGTTCAGTAATATGGCACATGCTAGTAGGGATAGTTTTTGGGTGGATTTTTCCAATACTGTTTTTAAAGGATTTATACAATTTCATACAAAACGAATGCAACAAAAACACATTTAGTAATTTTCTAATTCCATTTCTTTCTTCAAATGGTCCCCGTAGTGTTAAAGCATACAAATCGGGTTCGGAGGAGGAAGAATTCAGTAGGAAGAAACGACTTGTCAACAGGAACACTTGAACCTGAAGTATCAACCATTTCTCACCATTCTTCTTTTCAAGGATTAGAAGCAAGCATCATAGCTGACACACCTCATTCAACTCCTGGCTCATCAACAATCTTTCACTTGCTGAGGTCATCTCTTATTACTTATCTTTCACTTGCTGAGGTCATCTCTTATTACTTATCTTTCACTTGCTGAGGTCATCTCTTATTACTTATCTTTCACTTGCTGAGGTCATCTCTTATTATTTTTCTTTCACTTGCTAAGGTCATCTCTTATTATTTTTCTTTCACTTGCTAAGGTCATCTCTTATTATTTATCTTTCACTTGCTAAGGTCATCTCTTATTATTTATCTTTCACTTGCTAAGGTCATCTCTTATTATTTATCTTTCACTTGCTAAGGTCATCTCTTATTATTTATCTTTTGTGTTGTAAGGATATTAAGAAAGCACTATTATTAAACTGTAGCCATATGGTTTTTACTTAACAATAACTGAACAAGTTTTTTTTTCCTATGAGAAGTTCAATACGTGCAGTGTGTCGACAATAAAAGTGAGTGTATTAATAAAAAGGAAAAAAATCAAATAATTTAAGCCAGAAGATCTGACACTAAACTGAATGCTTCTCTGGAAAATTGGCAAGTCTATGATCATGAATTATTCAACTCAGTTTTTTTTTGTGCTCTTTAAACATTACTTTCATTGCAGAAAAAATTTATTGATTGATACAAAAATCTAAGAAGACCGAGAAAGAGAGGTAGATAATGTTTCCTTGATACTACAGAGACCTAACAAAAATATACTATACATGCAGGCTGTCACGGATTCTATTTAGATATTAGCACAAAAAAAATATTACAGAAAGTAATTATTACATTTCTGGTTTCAAATGATCATAGAAATAACTCTCAACTTGGTACAAAGGTGTGAAATACTGCAAAAATATCTAATCACTTAGTGGAATCATGGGTTTGAACCCAGCTTAGTCTCAAGGTTTTATATCTTCAGAAACATTTAATTGTATAAGGTGGTAAACTACCATTAAATATTTCTGTATCTTCAGTTTAACAACAGCATTATTGGAAATGTTTCAAACTAAAAAAAAAAAAAGACATTTTATGTGTGGAGAGTGAATTTTACTCTTTTAGAGAAAAGCTTTCATCATTCAAAAGATTTTGGAGAGAGGATATGATGCAACATATATCTAAAAATGCAACATATCAAAATAAGGTAACATCTCGGGTTCCAAATGTCAAATTTGTTTTTTTATCAACCTACCATTTTCCTTGATTCTCCGAACACAAGATTCTATGAGTTTATCACTAGATTTTGAAACAAGTGAACTTTCCCGAGCTTTTGAAGCCATCTCCTCATCTTCTGAAAAGTCCTCTTCTTCTACTTGGGAAGAGTTGCTAGAAATGAACACACGCAAGAAGAGTGTATAGTATTGATGAGCAATAACAGAAATGTGATAGGAAACAGTGAAATATATTAATTTTTTTCTTATCCTATATTAATTTATGTCTATGTGAACTTGGTTGTTTGTCTGTTTACAAACTACTCCCACAATGTTTGAGCTAGCAGGACCAAACTTGGTAGGCAGGTTTTCAGGGTGGCCTGGAGGAAATGTGTTTGTGTGTGCATGCACTTATCTGCATGGTGTTCCTTACAAACTAGAAGGACCAAACTTGGCATACGTGCTTAGATAATGTGGGCAAGAGTCCTAATGTTGTTGTTTTTTGAGGGGGGTAAGCACCCCCTTGCAGTGCCTATACAAGTAATTAGGGATAATGGAGAAGTACGACTGATATATCACTCCAACAGAGTAGCTTCTGGGGAGTAAACCAAACTCTATTTAATACCCTAAACTGCCCAAATAAAGAAATTACGAGGTCGGGTCAAGTTTAAATTAACATACATATACAATAGTTTAAACATTGTGTAAATAAAATTACTATTTCACAAAAATAGTTTCATTTAACTGAAAGTTTGGCCATTTTTGAAAATGAGTAATAGTTTAACTCCAAAAGGACAAACTGTAAATCAAAACTACAGTAAAACAACGTACGACTGAAGATTTTAATTGTGAAACACATTATAAACCTATCAATACAACATAAAAACTACTGTTGTTCACAATGTCTAGTTAGAGCTTTCTCATGATGGAAAATGAGTAGTAACACGTTACAGAGATGAAAGAGTGATGGAAACAGCAAAGGAACAAGAAAACAATTTCTAAAATTCAAAACTCAAGAAGTCAGACCATTAGTAACTACACATCTTAATAGTGTTTAATCAAAAAACAATAAAATTGGAAAGTCATCACAGTATGATGTAGTACAAGTAAATTGAAATCTTAAGACAAGAAGAAACAGACAGTAAAATGATAAACAGACTTTTATGTTCACAACATTTCAAGCTTGAATGACTTTACTCTGGCGATTTTAAACTTTGATGTAACATAAATCTTAAAAAGGACTATAATACATTGAACGTTCAAAATGAATATCATACGATAGATCTATATAACAATATTAATAAAAATATAAAAACAATTAGGATAATATTAATATATACTAGCAGAAACCCACAAAACATCTGTAGTCAAATAAGTATGTTTACTACAAACAATACTTCTTTAATAAAGGATTTCTAGACTAATACAAAAAAATTCTAATTGCAGACACTAAAATCTGCTGGTCTACCTATTTTAGGCCTAGCATTAGATAAGCCTTTATTAAGAACAGCCTATATTTGATAGTGAGAAATTAACACTAACTTGTGTATGTTTTTTGCTTTAGTTTACTTAGGACTAAACTTCACTGTACTTAACCAATAAATAAACTTGTAATGTTATTCTAAGACCTAACATTAGACTTTTTCAAAAAACTTTGATAAGCTTTTAACCCTTTCCAGATGGGTCACAGGTGAAAG